GAGCGCGGCCGGTGCCGCCTCGCTCGGCGGCGGAACTCCGCGATGTCCCATGGCATCGGGACCCGTCGCTAATCCACGTCCCCCTTCATCCATGTGTGCGATCGGCTGGAAAGGGCAGGGCGGCTCACCGAGAAAACAACCAAGCGTTAGGTCGGGCAGGTCCTCCTACAGGCGGATTTTGGGCGGAAGCTTCTAAACATACGCAGTACCATAGCACAAGTAAACAGCACAAAGGCTCAAAACATCGTCCTCCGACTATTCTTTACTATTTTCTATTTTTTCTCCTGTAGAGGGACAGGCCCGACATAAGCTGAAAAGGGGAGGGCGGCTCACCGAGAAAACAGGCAAGCGTGTCCTTTAGAGCGCGACCCGCGCAGGGGGCGCGGGGCGAGCGCGACGGAGCTGGCGTGCGAGCGCATCACTCGGGGGAGCGGCCAGGTTGGAGGACCTACAGCACAACGAGCCCTGCCGAAGACAAGACAGCTGCGCGCTGTGGCAGCGTTCCCCAGCCCAATTGCGCCAGGCCTCTTCCTCCTCCTCCTCCTCCTCCTCCTCCTCCTCCTCCTCCTCCTTGCCCCCTCACCCAGCCCCGCACCTGGATGGGGGCCCCTGGTTCCAGTACACCAGGCCCGACCTTTATCATTGTGGAGCCCCTATGCGTAAAGTCCTGGGCACCCCACAGAAATCACAGGAGGCCCCCTGAAATCGTCTTTGTCCTTGTCCTCCTCCTCCTTCTCCTCCTTCTCCTCCTTCGCCTCCTCATTCTCCTCCTCATTCCCCTTCTCTTCCTCCGCTTCATCATCCACACAATAGCAAACATTACAGTACTCCCCTCCCCCCGACCCCCCCTCCTCGGACTCCTCATCCTGCTCTGTCCCCTCCTACGGCAGGAGAAGGAGAACAAGGGAGCGAGGAGGAGCAAGGAGGGAGGGAGGATAGAGGAAGGAACAGCGAGGATCCAGGAGCGACAAGGGGTGAGCGAGGAGGACGGAACGAGGAGGGAGGAGGGAGGAGGGAGGAGCGAGGAGGGAAGAACGGAGAGGAATGAGGGAGGACTGAGGGGGGGAGGAGTGGGGGGGCGGAGGAGGAGGAGCCGGAGAGGGACGTGTGGTCCGACCAACCCCCCGCGGGCGGGGCTCCTAGCAGCAGTGCCGCCTCCCGCCAGCGGCGGCCCTTCTCGCACGCGCTGACCGCGGCGTTGTGGGCGATCACGCCGGGGGAGAGGCCCCACCTTTGGGGGGGGCGTCGTCGGCATGTCTGGGAGGGTGCAGGAGGAGGGGGAGGAGGGGGACGAGGAGGAGGTGGAGGATGGAAAAAAGGAGGGGGGGGGGGGAGGAGGGGGGGGGGGGGGGGAGGAGGCGGAGGCGGAGGAGGCTCGGGGGGGGGAGCAGGCACGGAGCGGGGCCAGAGGAGACAATGTGAAAGCTGCGCGCGCGTTGCGTAGTCGACGCGGCCGCCTCAACCTGGGAAACATCTTCCGCCCGCTGTTGCTGGACCTCCTGCCCGCGCTGCGCACGCCATCCCACCGATCCTCCACTCCCACGCATGGAGACCTCAAGGTGAGGAGGCGCTCGGCGGAGTCGAGGGAGGCATCCATCAGGTCCTTGAGGGAGTGGAACAGAGCGGAGTTGCGGACAGCAAGGGGCCGCGCGGCCCGGCGCTGAATCTCAGGGGAACCAGCCTGCAACTCCAGACCTAGGCCCTGGAACCCGCGGAAGACCTGCGGAGCGAAAGAATGGCGAGGGCTGCGAGGGCGCAACTGGCGAGCCCCCAGCCTCAAGCAAAAAACATACTTATTCATTATATGTCCTTGGCCAACAGATGGGCCGACTGGAAAACGCGCATCTTTTATATGCCGCAATGTGGCGTGAGCGCGCGAGCTTTCCGCAGGGGCCCCACCCACGCGGCACCCAATAACCGCCCCTCCCATGGGCCCCGCCAGCGGGCCCCAGGCAATTCCCGGAAGGCTAGAAGTTGAATTTGGCGACGTCCTTCACGCCACCTTAATCAAGCTTGGCCACGACCCCGTCGAGATGATCGCCAACTTGGCAACGTTCGGAACGAGGCCAGACGCAAGGCCGAACAATGAAATGGCCAGCGTCCGCGGGCCCGCAGAGAAAATGTCGGCGGCCACGAGGCCGAAGTCGCCCGCGAACGCAGAGACTTGCCGCGGCAACCTGGAGGGGCGCCCAGATAGATATTGGAGAAACGGAGCTAAAGCGAGAACGCACATAATACCATACACTGAGCACTGTTGTTTCCCACCTCGGAGGGCCGCGCAAGACCTTTTGAGCGCTCTCAGACTTCGCCAGGTAATGCGCGCGCGAGTAAAGGGCCATGACGGCGAAGACCATGAACTCGGGAAGCACGCAAGCACGAATGTTACTCCAGATCCTTCCGCATAACCTCAGGCTTGCCAAAACGGAGAGGCAATTCGAAAGTCATCGAGGACCCCCCCGCGCCCCCCATGGCCCATCACCACGTCCATCGACTTCCAGAAAAGTCTGCACACACCCCACGCAACGAGCCCCCAACTCGATCGACCAGGGCCTGCGGAATCAGCGGCCCGGTGAGCGAACTCACGATCATGTTATCGGTGCTCGAGAGGGCACTCGGGCGGGTTTCCTCTACTGTCTCCAACGCACTCTCGGGCGGCAGGAGCGTCGCCTTTCGCGAGGAACACTGCTGCGGCGATGCGTAACTCGTCGTTCACGGCGCCACTGGCGAAAGCGCGCTCGCGGTGCTCGCGGAGCGCCTCTCGGTCAACAGGCCCAGCCGCCCTCCAAGCGCTGTTGCACAGGCCGTCAGGGCCTGAGGTTGAATCTTCCGCGTCGCAGTGAACCTCGCGGAACTGGTCGAATATTTGCTTCTCGGGGAACCGCTGGGCGGTCGAATTCGCGCGTTGATCATCTTCCGGGTCGACTGGCGGGGCGGGCTTCCGGGCGCCGGCCCGGGGAGAAGGGCCCCCTTGCGCGGCGCCACGCCAAACGCTATGCCCCAGTGAGAGGAGGAGGAGGAGGAGGAGGAGGAGGAGGAGGAGGAGGAGGAGGAGGAGCGCAAAAAAACTCGGGGCCCACGTGGGACTGCCCCGTTGGGCACCAATAGACCCCGCAACACAAATCTCGCGCCGCTGGCCCTGCCGAGCCGCGGCGCCAGAGGGCGCGAGCGCGAGCTGTGAAAGTCGGCGCTCGGACCGCGGCCGCCTTGCTCGCGGCCGGCACCTCGACGGCACTCCCCCCGCGCAGCGGGCCCCTGTCTCGCGCGGGGGGGGGGGGCGGGGCAAGGTGCCGCGTCGTGCAGTCGAGGCGTGGACCTGAGGAGCCCTAGATAAGGAACGAGGCCCCTATTTTCCATGAGGTGAACTTCGATGTCGCATCGACAACCTGAGGAAAATCCAGGGCAAGCTGCGAAACAATCGAGGAACACGGAGCCCCTCCCCCACGAAAAGGGCTCCTTCTTCAGGGCCCCGACTGTAGGAGGCGAAGGGGGCGGGGCGGGCGCGCGCGGAGGCACGGCGCGGGCGGACCTCTCCAGCCCGGACCTGCGGGCGCGAACCAGATTCGGGCACCGGGCGAGCTGCTCCTGCCGACCGGGCGAGCTTCTCCTGCCGCGAACCTGCAGCACCCTGCAGTCATCGGCCTGACCTATAAGGAACGATAGACAAGGAACGAAGCCCCTTTGTTTTATCCCAAGGAGTAGCGCACAAGGAACGATAAACAACAAATAACGCACAAGGAACTGTAACCAACGCATGCAAGCCTAAGGAACGACCGAGCCCCCTCTTGAAAAGCAAGCGTTCCTCATTCAGGCCGCTCACTGTGTACATCTCGGATTTGGCTGGGAAACGCAGCCACGACGAGAACTTCGATCTCCCCCAGCCTTGCCGGGGGTCATCGCCGACGTCCTGGCCGCGGGCCCCGCCCTCGAAGTATCTGGCAGATGCGGGAATGCCCGCGCAGGGAGGCAGATGCTCCGCCGCGACTCCCAAGGCTGGGGGGGCGAGGCAAAAAGGGGGCGCGACGCGAAGGGAAGCGGAAGCCGGCGCGGCCCAAGGCGTCGAGCAGGCGAGGCCGGGGTCGAGGAGGTCGGGGGTAGAGATATTGGAGAGAGCGTGATCCACCGCCGCTCTACTGTGGAAAATTGCCGCCCTGTTCCTCCGGAGCCCGGGGTTCCCCCCCCTCCGAAAATCCCCCCACCTCTGCTGGACCCGCCCCCCCTCCTTCCCCAAACCCCCCCCCCTCCCCTAACCCCTCCCCCCCCCCTCCCCCTCGAAAGCCATGGGGGGGTCACTATTCACTACTGTTCGAACCCCCCCTGAAAACCGGAGGGGGGGTCACTACCGGTTCGAACCCCTCCCCACCCCCCAACTCACCGCCAGCAAACGACTCCCGGTCCCCACCCCCACCACCACACCCCCACCGTGTTCCCAGCACCACTGTCCTCACACTGTCCCCGCTGTTTCCACCACCGTCCCTATTGTCCCCACCAGTGCCCCCACCACTGTCGCACTGTCCCACTGTCCCCACTGTTCCCACCACGGTTCCACTCTCCCACTTTCTCCACACCCCCAACCACTGCCCGACTATCCCCACTGTCCCCACTGTCCCACTGACTCCTCCGCTGTCCCACTGAACTGTTCCACTGTTCCCACCACTGTCCCCACTGTCCCCACCACTGTCCCCACTGTACCTCTGTCCCATTGTCCCACCGCCGTCCTCGCCACCGCCTTCACCACTGTCCCCACCACCACTGTACCCTCCACTTTCCCACTGTTTCCACCGCATTCCCACTGTCCCCACACCACTATCCCCACCACCACCGTCCCCACCACTGTCCACTGTCCCCACTGTTCCCACCGTTGTCCTCACCACTGTCCCCACCACTACCGTCCCCACCACTGTCCCACTATCCCCACCACTGTCCCGCTGTCCCCTCACCACTGTCCCCACCACCACCGTCCCCATCACTGTCCGCACCTCCCCTCGGTTTTCGAGGAGGGGGGGGGTCGAACCGGTAGTGACCCCCCCGGTTTTCGCGGGAGGGGGGGGGGTTCGAACCGGTAGTGACACCCCCCCTTTTCATGATGAACTGGAGGGGGGGGAGGGGTTCGAACCGGTAGTGACCCCCCCGGTTTTCCGGAGGGGGGGGGAGGGGTTCGAACCGGTAGTGACCCCCCCGGTTTTCCGCCAGCAGCCGTAGAACACGCTCTTTCAGACATTGCAATCGACCTGAACAAATCCCCAATGAAGAAAAGATTCGGCAGGCTGCGATACAACGCGTCGAAGAATACATATGTGTATATATATACATCTATATATATATATTCATATATATATATATATATATATATTATCGGCTTCTCAAGCTCTGCAAGCCGCGGGAAAAATGAAAGAAATCACGCAGCGCGCCTGACGGGCGCGAAGCGCTCGGCCCCTTCAGTTACGTCGAATATCTAAGTCCCCTCAGGGCGGCAATTGCTATCCCCAGGGGCGAAGGACAGAGTGTTCAGCGCGGTGCCGGGGCGGTTTCGATGGCTCAACGCCCCTCAAACGGGGACTCCACTAACGAGTACTTTGGCCAGTGACCCAGCGAACCCAACCCTTCCCGGTGTGGGCAACGCTGCAATGCCAGAAAAAGGCCTTAAAGTGGCAACTTTCGGCAACATTTCAAAGTTCCCGTTAGTAAGTACCCGTTGCGGTGCCGTTGAATGGCCTACAACTGACTTCGCCCGGTCAGGAAGCCCAGGGTCAATGTGCACATTGAAGTTTTGCAGCTCCCCCCGTAGACCTGCAAGGTTCACGCGCGCCGCGCAGCCCGGCTCGAGGGAGGCGGCGGTAGGGGGACACGCTCGACAGGTCGCCTGCGACAGGATTTGGCAGGACACCAGCACCTGCGCCGTTGCAGAAGGGGCACAAGACACAGTGTTCCTTCAAGTCCCGAACCAGATGCTTGAGGCCACATGGAGCCCCCAGAAGCTTCGTGAATGCAAACCACTTGATTTCGCCGGAGGACAGCATGTAATTAGTTTGTGAAACTTGTATTGGACGCGAATGTGGTCAGCATGTAATACACCTATGAAGGCCCGCGAGCTCCACGCCGTTATCTTGGACGGGAGATGGGAGGGGGTGCGGGGGGGGGGGGGAGGGCGATGCATCTGCGCTGACAGACGTTGGAGGCGCAGGAGGACAGGAGGGGGCACGGGGCAGGGCGCAACGAACCCCTTGCGCACCCTGGCCAGGGCCCGGAACGAAACCGGAAACGAGGTGCCCAGAAGGGGCCTTTCGGAACGCAGCAACGATGCTGTCGACCCTGTCGTGGATGATGCCCCAAGGGAGAAGGTTGCCGTAGATAGACTCAAGCTCGAAGGTGCTTTCCCCTGTTGGGCGGCCGTGATCAGCTCGAATACTGGTCGACCGCCATGACCTGCAAGACTCCTTTGTGCCCGTTGGCCCCCTAGCTTGCGGCCGCCAACCCAGTCGGCTCTCTTTTTCAGCTCCTCGAAGTAGAGCCACGGGAAAACACCCTTCCTCGGCCTCGCGCGGGGCGGGATGTCGCCCCTAACCCTCAAGGAGTACTTTTTCTGGCCGCGAAAGTGGATCCTTTATATGTGACCGTTTTGTTCACATGTTGCTGGGATCCCCGGCGTCCTCCTCGACGGCGAACTTCAGTTTGTAGACCTGGCTCACGCCGTGGAAGATGGCCGTCGCGCACGACTCATCCTGCAACTTTGTGAAATGTTCCTGCAGCTGCTCCAGTGGGCCTGGCGGGTTTTCATGAGCAACGGCCCATGGAATGTGCCCACGAAGCGGATGGACGGGTCGCTGGTGAAATCGCAGACCTCGCGTTTGGTCCTCTTTGCCCTCGAACTTCCTGACAGTGGAAGCTCGGTTCTTGATCATGGGCGACGACACGTTGCTGCCGCTGCTGGAAACGCAAATTCTACAACCAGAATCGAGATAAGCGAACCCGCTGACCTTGAGATTTGATGTCCGCTCGAGGTTGCTGAGTTCGAAGCTCAGGGCACTGATAAGTCCCTGTGGTCCAGCGACTGCGGTGTGAAACTCGCCATTGACTGCGTCCTATAAATACGACGAGGGAGAAGGGATGGGGACGAGGTGGGGCGAGGAGGAAAAGGGGTGGGAGGAGGGAGGGCCCCAAGTATTCTTGGCCGCCACAGTGGTTCCACGTGGTCCAAGGACGATCGGGGCGACGAGGAGGAGGAGAATGACGAACGTAAAACCAAAGCGCATCAACGATGTTGCAATAAACCCGTCCTCTGACGTCCGTCTTCACATCCCCCTGCAAGAAACTATATTCAATGCGGTAAGTGACCCTTTTCCACGCCAACCGTGTAAGAATTCCCAAGCGTGACAAAGCACAGTCCCTGGGAATTCCACGCCACGGATCTAGGTGGGTGTTGCGTTCGGACAATCCTGACCCGCGCCAGAACACAATCCCTGGGACTTCAATACCGCGGGCCGATGTTCCTGACAGTTCAAATTCGTGCCCCGATGCCATGTTTGAGCCCTCAGCCATACGATCCTTGAAACCGATGCGAAAAATTAAGATGTCTGCGCGCGGCGCCAAAACGAGAGCCACGATCTGAAACGGAACCCACCTGCATCCGCGACGCTGCGGCAAGCGTTTCAGATGGATGTGCGCGCCGCAGATGCAAGAGCCATACAGCCGGGCTGCTGCAATAAGGAACCCCAAATAAGGAACGAAGCCCCTTGTTGACGCCAGAAGAGCCTGGGTACACGGGAAGGGCTAGAACGACCATCACCGAACGACCCAAGGAACTGCGAGCCCCTTCCGAACCCAAAGCGGTCCTTGTCCCAGCGCCTTGACCACATTAGGGAAACAAAAAGTGACATAAACATAAAAACTCGGAGGTCCGCGCGGATTTCTCGGATCGGCGCTGGGGCCCCCCGGCGGCGCCTCCGGCGCCGCCCCTGGCGCGCTCCGCGCGCCAGGGAGGGGGCCCCAGCGCCGATCCGAGAAATCCGCGCGGACCTCCGAGTTCTTATGTTTATGCCACGTTCTTGTTCCCCTACACTCGGGTCGGGCGAAAGGGGGGGATAACAAAGGGGGGGTTTGGGAATCAGCTCACGTATAGCTGATTTTCCCGGCGCCTCCCGGCGCCGGAGGCGGCCATGTATCGAGGAATGGGCCCCTCGGTGAGGCCGAATCCGGCTGCACGCCGCAGATTTCGTAACCCCCCCTTTCCCAATCCCCCCCTTTCGTCCGGCCCGATACACGTATCGAAGAGGAAGGGGCCGCCCTCAGCCCTCCATCCGTGAAGCGGCTGCGAGCGCTCGAGACGAACGCGCGCGCGCACGGCGTTGTTTTTTTTACACCGCAGGGATCGTTCAACCTTGAACGATCGGCCGCTGCCGCAACGTCCGATCGTTCAACGTCGATCGATTCTGGGTCGCCGGCGGCGTTCAACCTTGAACGCCCGCGCTGGGGTCGCCGCCGGTCGACACGACACAAACCTACCGTATGTTTATGCCACGTTCTTGTTCCCCTACACGTATCGAACAGGAAGGGGCCGCCCTCAGCCCTCCATCCGTGCAGCGGCTGCGAGCGCTCGAGACGAACGCGCGCGCGCGCACGGCACGGCGCGCGCAGCGAGGAGAAACAAAAAAAAAAAAAAACGGCATATGCCGAAGACGGCCGGCCCTCCGCCCGCGCAGCGGCTGCAAGACGTCGACGGCGAGCGCGCGCGCGGCGCACGGGGCGGGAGCCACAGGCTGAAGACCACCCGCCGCCCTCCAGCAGTCAAGTTAGGAAACAACCAACCAAAGGGGCCCAGGACACACAAACAAGTACACACAAACGAAAGGATTCCCCATATTTTCCCATGCTTTTAGAGTTTTCGTCTTCCCCCCCACTTCCCATATTTTCCCATATTTTCTGGGGAATCGAAGATGAATCATGTCCGTGTGTTTTTTTCCCTCCTGAGCAACTGCCGGGAGGTCTTCGTCGGAAAGATCAAGAGAGGATCGAGCCCCATTGCGGGACTGTTACGCCAGAGTGGGCGTCGGACTGAGCGGGATCACTTAAGCCGGAGCAAGCGGGATTGAGCGGAATTGAGCGGGACTGAGCGGGATTAAGCCGGACATCGGACCAGGGCAAAATCAGAATTTGACCTCCCAGGAGTTGCATCCGAAAATAAATTGCTGCAAACATTCAAAACGAATGCGCGCGGCGCTCGGGCGAGGACCACATCTTGAAAACGGCCCGCCCTCCATGCGTGGAATTGCTGCAACCATTCAAAACGAGCGTTCGCGGCGCCAGAACGAGAACCGCAGTCTGAAAAGGACCCGCCCTCCATCCGTGAATTTGTTGCACAGTTGAAAAACTCAGGATCGGAAACGGTGATGAAGTCCCATGCGAAGCGCCCAGCCCGCCCCACCGACACGCCTGTGGGTGCGACAGAGAGGGGGGCGACTCCCAGGAGGAGGAACGGAGGAGGAGAGGGAGAAACGGAAGGAACAACGGGCAAAACGACGACGACGACGACGACGAGGGGGGGGACGAGGGGCGGGCCCAGGAGGGAGGAGGAAGTGGGGAGGAAGGACCCCGGGCACTCCCGGCCGCCACGAGCACTCCACGCGGCCTGGGGCCGAGGGCAGGGGGGGGGGCGGAAGCTCAGGCCGCCCTGGGGGTCTGCCCAGTTCTGGGCAGGGGCCAAAGGACACACAAATAAATACACACAAATAAAAATATTCCGCGTATTTCCCTTTATTTTCTGGGGTTTCGTCTCCCCCCCCACTTCCCATATTTTCCCATATTTTCTGGGGAATCGACGATGAATTGTGTCTGTGTGTTTTCTCCTTCCCGACCAGTTCTGGGCAGGGGGCGCGCGTCGGGGCCCGGCGCTCCCCGATCCATGGCGGAGGGGGCTCCACGACTGGGCGCTCTGAGTGGGCAAGGGCGGTTCCTGCCACTCATGAGCTGGGGGCCTTCTTCATGGAGAGGGGGCTCCATTCGTGGAGCAGGGGCTCTCTGAATGGACAAGGGCGATCCCTGTCATTCATGAGCTGGGGGCCTTTTTCATGGAGAGGGGGCTCCATTCTCGGGTCGGGCGAAAGGGGGGGATAGCAAAGGGAGCGTTTGAGAATCAGCGCACGTAGCTGATTTTCCCGGCGCCTCCCGGCGCCGGAGGCGGCTATGTATCGAGGAATGAGCCCCTCGGTGGGGCCGATACCAGCTGCATGCAGCAGATTCCGTAACCCCCCCTTTCCAAAACCCCCCCTTTCGCCCGACCCGACATTCGTGGAGAAGGGGCCCCATGAATGGAGAAGGGTGATTCATGGAGAAGTGCCCGGCGTCCTCCCGGGGAGCCACGCCCACCATTGGGGAGCCCACAACAAAGATGCTCGCGCCCAGCCGCGCTCACGAGTGCGACCCCCCAGTCCGCGCGACCTCGTGTTACGAACGCTTGCGCAACGCACACTCTCGAAATCCACAGCGTTCATGCAGGCGTACGTATTTTCGTCGCTCCTGAACCACTCGTGCCGCCACCATTTCAACCCTACTGGCGGGACCTGGAATGTGAACTGATCTTTTGTCCTCATCTGGAGGGAATTCCGCATCCACGTCCAACCGTCGTACAATGCTTGGCTTGGCCACGAAGCGCAGCGAACCCAAGGAAGCGGGAAAAGGCGGCAACGGTGCGCGTAACATGGTAGGCCCAACCGGCCAAACCAAGAAACTCGACACAACACGAAAATCTACTTGACAAGCAAGCAGCACAGCGGAAGACCGACTGCGGCGTTGTCGCTGGGACCTGTGTCAGTATTCCTTCTGGATGTACACCCCCTGCTCTAGCCGACCAACAGCAAACCTGGGGCTATGTGGGCATTGTGCGCGCTGTGGGGGAAATCTTGCGCTTTGAACTTCCCGACGCTCGTAGACCCGCAACGCCCCCACGACGGCAGCTGCGACCTCCACGGCGCCCACACAGGCGCCCAAGACCAACTTCAAAAGAAAGCCAGCCAAAGGACCCGATCGGACACTCCGAGCCCTCGGCCCCAAGAAGGTCACAGGAGATCCCACCATAACCCCCACAAGGCTGACACGAGGCCGCCACCAGACGGCATCTACTACACCCCCAAGAGGTCGGCGGTGCGGCGTAAGCCCGAGAATCTACCTGACAAGCAAGCAGCACAGCGCCCTCAAAATGCCGTCCATCTCTGCCAGGATGGCAAGAGAATATGGCCAAACAAACGCAGGTATGGCAACTGCACGCCTGCCCACGACGCCTCGCCACGTCCAGCACCCGCCTCGAGTAGGGAGAAGAGGTCCAGAATAACCCAATGATGTACCAACGATGCTGCAATGCAATCTCCCGTTCCTTGTCCCTGTTCATAGCAGGAGAGCCCAGAATCGAATCGATAAGTCGGATCGGAGATCGAAACGAATCGGATCGGCGGAAATCGGCAGCCGAGCCGGGAAAAGTCGAATCGGCGTACATCGGCAGGCTAGCATGCCTCCAATGAGAAGTTGGAACCGACATCGGAATCCCGATTCGAATCGAATCCCTTTTCCTTCTCTCTTCCACCCTCGCGCGCCGCCGGAACGGGAACGGATGCGCAGAAGACGCTATCGTCTGCAGTCGACTCCCTCCCTCCCGCACCAGGCACCCAGGCTGCACTCAAGCCCAGACGGCACCTCGCAGCTCTCAGCAAGGCTGCCGACTGCGCAGCTGCTGGTACTTCCGTGGGCAAGAGTGCTGCGTATCTCTCACTGTGCTCTTGCGTAAGATGTGAGAAGCACACCTCGAGAAAGGGCTGGGCACTTCTCGGGTATGCTTTGGGGCATCGCCCGCTTGACTCAAGCAGCGTTCGAGCGGCGCCGGGGCGCTTCCGAGGCGAATTGAGACACGAGCGCAGGCACGGCGGAAGATGCCAAGCAACAGCAGCGGTCCAACACCGACAGCGGCCGCTGTGGGGCAGGCGACGTCTTGCCTCGAGTGCACAGCGGCCGCGGCAACACCGACAGCGAGTCCTGTGCGAAACGGAGAAGAGCTGCTGTCGGCTTTCGTTTACGATTCAGAAAATCACTGAAGGGGCCCTGGGACACACACACACACATAAATGCACGCAAAAAAATGTATCCCCATATTTTTCTATATGTTCTTGGTTTTTGTCTTCGCCCCCACTTCCCATATTTTCCCATATTTTCTAGGGAATCGACGACTAATTGTGTCTGTGTGCTTTTCTCCCTCCTGATTCACTACCGTGCACCACCGCCGTGCGTGGCCAGGGCCACCCTGCACACGGGCCTGGTGCACACGCCCCCCTGGCACAGGTCACTCGCCATCGCTTGGACGTCCATTCCCTGTTTTTTTTGGGTTTCGTGCGTGGTTTTTCGCCAAATGATCGAGGATGCTCCTCGATGGTCCTCGCCGAAGAAAAAATGCACACGTCCGAGCGATGCCGAGATCAGGAGGGTGCACGCACCGAACTGGGCGCGGGGATGGCCCTGGCCAGGCACGGTGGTGGTGCAGATGCCTTCTGCAGATTCGTCCCCACCATGTCCAAGTCCATGTCGATCGCATCGACCCAGACTTCGGTCGGGCATGTCCCCCTACATGCGGATTGTGGGCGAAAAATTAAGGATACCCCCCAAATACTCAAAAATGCTCACAAATGGTCGAAACATCGTCCCCTGACTATTTTTTGACCATTTCTGAATAATATTCCTCCTGCCGAGTGACACGCCTGACTTCAACTCAGGCCCCCGACGTCGTGTTTGTTCCGCAGCGTTAGCCCTTGGAGCTCTCGCCCCACACCCCGAGACCCCGTGGTCTGTCTCTGACGGCCCCTGGGCCCCAGAGGAGGGGGAGGAGGAGGAGGAGGAGGAGGAGGAGGAGGAGGAGGAGGAGGAGGAGGAGGAGGAGGAGGAGGAGGAGGAGGAGGAAATCGACAACAAGATCCTCCTGTCCCGCTACTTTCACTCCCTGGACCTCTCCTGGGGTGAATTCTTACCACAAGCTCCGAGAGAGAAGCCCGCCGAGGCGACCAGGGCCCTCCAGGAAAGGCAGCGGTTTCGGTATGTGTTCCTCCTCTGTCTCATATGCCCAATCCTGAAGGGGCCCTGGGACACACAAATAAATACACACAAATACACATATTCCCTATATTTTCATATATTTTCTGGGTTTTTGTCTTCCCCCCCCACTTCCCATCTTTTCCCATATCTTCTGGGAAATCGACACTTAATTGTGTCTGTGTGCTTCTGTCCCTCCTGCAATCCGCTCGCACCTGGACGCCCCGATTATCCAGGGCAACTCAAGTGAAGGGTACTTCACTCCGATCTGGGCCCCCGACGCACGAACCACGAGTTACACCTTACCACCCCCAGCCCTGATATGAAGGGGCCCCAGGACACACAAATAAATACCTACAAATACCTATACGACCACCCTTCGGGTGATAAGGAGGTTCGGGGGGGGGGGGAAACCAACGTCTCACTCAATCGGTCTCACTATCGATCTCAGTATCGATCTCACTATCGGTCTCGCTCGATCGATCTCACTTGATCGATCTCACTCGATCTATCTCATTCGATCGATCTCACAATTGATCTCACAATCGATCTCACAATCGATCACACAATCGATCACACATTCGGTCTCAATACCGATCTCACTATCGATATCACAATCGCTTTCACAATCAACGTCATCATCATCATCATCATCATCATCATCATCATCAACAACATCAACATCATCACCAACATCGTCATCATCATGAGGGCACAGTCATCATCATAAAGATAATCATCGACGTCAGCACCATCATCGGGACAACATCATCATCACCATCACCATCATCATCTCATCATCAACATCATCATCGGGGCACAGTCATCGTCATCATCATCAGCAGCATCATCAGAATCATCATCATAATCGGGACACCATCATGATCACCATCGTTCTCATCATCAACATTATCATCAACATCGTCATCATCCTCGAGACACCATCATCATGATCATCGCATCATCATCAACGACATCATCATCATCATCATCATTGGGGCACCATCATCATGAGCAACATCATCATCAACATCGTCATTATCATTGTTATCATCATCGAGACACCATCAGCATCACCATCATCATCATCACCATCATCATCATCAGCAGCATCGTCATCGGGGCACCATAATCATCAACATCATCATCATCATAACCATCATTATCGCTGGGACACCAGTTCCATCAACATCATCATCACCAACATCATCGGAATCACCATCATCATCATCATCATCATCATCATCATCATCATCATCATCATCGGGACACCATCATCGTCATCATCATCAACATAATCAGCATGAGCATCATCATCCTCATCATCGGGACATTATCATCATCATCGACACCATCATCAACATCATCATCTTCATCGGGACACCATCATCATCATCATCATCATCATCATCATCATCATCATCATCTCATCATCATCTCATCATCATCATCATCATCATCATCATCATCATCCTCATCCTCATCCTCATCCTCATCCTCATCCTCATCCTCATCCTCATCATCACATCATCATCATCATCATCATCAACACATCATCATCATCTCATCATCACCATCAAATCATCATCAGCCTCGCGGGACACCGCGGGACACCGGCGGGACACCGCGACACACCGCGGGACACCGCGGGACACCGCGGGACAACCGCGACACGGGACACCAGCGGGACACCGCGGGGCCACCCGGCCGCCGGAAGGGAATCATTTGGTCCGGCCGCGCCTCAGCCACACGGGACACCAGCGGGACACCGGCGGGACACCGCGGGGCCCGGCCGCCCGGAAGGGAATCATTTGGTCCGGCCGCGCCTCAGCCACAGGAGACTTTCTCTCGCCCGCCCACGCAGCTTCGCCTCGCCCGCACGGCACGCACGAACACGAAACCGAAATCGATTTCCCGGTAGGGGGGCTCTCCGTTCCACTTCGATCTCCCCCCCCAACCTCCGACGCACAAATAAAAAGATTCCGAAGATTTTCTAAATTTTCTGGGTCTTTGTCTTCCCCCCCACTTCCCATATTTCCCGTATTTTCTGGGGAGTCGCGATTAATTGTGTCTGTGTGTTTCTTTCCCTCCTGATGATAACTCGGGGTGAACGCAGGATAGCCTCAGTCGGGGCAACTCCTGCCTGGGCCCCCGAGGCGCGAACACAGAGATCGGTGTCGTGATTGTTCAGCTGCGGGGTCCCCGAAGTCTCGACCCCATTTCCCGGGACAGGTTTTCGCCTGAGTCGCTTCTTGACGGTCCCGGGGCCCTGCGAGGGCCCCTGAGGCCAAAAGCTGAGCACTACCACCGTCTCTCCTCCTCCCTCATCCTCCCTCCTCCCCCCTCCTCCTCCTCCTCCTCCTCCTCCTCCTCCTCCTCCTCCTCCTCCTCCTCCTCCTCCTCCTCCTCCTCCTCCTCCTCCCCAATGCCTTGGATCTCTGGGCCTGCCTCCCCCCAGCCCTGAGGATCCAGGGCTCCCACGCCCCGAGGCGACGGGGCGCGCACGCCCGAGCCCGGAGGGGCGCCCGGGGCTCTCGCGCCCCAGCCTCCGCACCTCGGCCACGCCCGGCCCCCGCGCCGACCCGGCGGCGGGTGGAAAAGCGCCGGCAGTGCGCGCGCGGGCCTCGGCGGGCTGGACATCGTGCGCGCCGCGCGGCGGCGCGAGAAGACTCCCGCCGCACCACCAGCGCCGGGGCGTCTCGTCTCGGGGGGGGGGAGGAGGCGGAGGAGGAGGAGGAGGAGGAGGAGGAGGAGGAGGAGGAGGAGGAGGAGGAGGGGGAGCAGGAGGAGGAGGGGGAGCAGGAGGAGGAGGAGGAGGAGGAGGAGCAGGAGGAGGATGGGGAGGGGGAGGAGGGCCAACTGCGACATCAGCGGTACCACCCTGAGATCCGGGCGCTGCAACGTCTCCACGCCAGACGTCTGCGCCTGGTCGCGGGCCCCGTGGCCAGCACAGATCGCCCCGGCTCGGAACATGCCGCAGTGCTGTTTTTGTTTTTCGCAACGTCGGATCTCAGGGTACTCCAGATTTCGTGATAAAAGGGAGGGGGTCTCATTTCGTGGGGGGTCTCCCCCAGGCTATCTTGGAGGGCCTGGGGGGGTCTGGGGACGATGTTTTGGAGGGTTCTCCCAGGGGGGGGGTCTAAAACTTCTCGTCTGGGAAGGTTGAGACCCCCTCCCTTCTATTACGAAATCTGGAGTAGGCGCTACTCTCGAGGATCCAGCCTGGATCCTCTGGCCCACATCCTCTCACCTTTGCTTTCTGGGTGCCGCAGATGTCTCCTGTGGCTCTCCTCCGTCTGCCGTCCCAGCCCACGAGGGACCCAGCAGGCACGAGGGCAACAACAGACCCCAAAATGTGGCTGCAAGAGACTCCCACAGACGCCCGAGAAGGGCCCAAGACGGCACCAAGACGACCCACAAGGGCCCCAAGACGATCCGGTTGCCCCACAAGCGCTCACGACGGCCCCCCAAGACGCCCCAAATAGGCTCCATTCGAGCACCTCAAGGAACAGAGACGACACGTCCCTGGGCGGTGCCCAAGACGTCTGAGCACAAGAGAATCGACACTCACCCCTCAGATGATAAACCTTAGCGAAGTGAGGAAAATAATGAGGAAGAGGAGGAGGAGGAGGAGGAGGAGGATAATGAGGAGGAATTAAAACCGCCCCCCGCCCCCCACACGAGGAACTTTAGACCAACTAGACTGCGCACGCGGCCCCCCCTGCGGCAGCTGGCAATGGCTTCGCTCACAACTGGCCTACACTTACGCACACTCGCCACACTTGCAAAACGCTCACATGTAACGTCCATTGTTGTGGGGGCCGGGGTCGGCTTCCCACTGTTGATCCATATGGATATTCCGCTCAAGCGGCGCCCACTCTTGCGCTGAAAAACCTCTCCGCTCTGGCGGGGGCGAGACCGCGCGACACTGTGCAGCCAACCGCCGGCACACCGAGCACTTGACTGTGCGTTCGCTTCGCGCTGCCGTGCGCGCGGTGAGCATCGAATTGGGGGACTCCTTGGGCAACGACGGACCGCGGCCCCCTGCGCCCGCGACTGGCCTCGGGGCCCCTTCCGAGTGGGGCGCGAACAAAGTCGTGATTCGCCCCCACCCCCCCCTGAAACCCCCCCCCCCCAAAGACATTCAGACACCTATCAACCAATGTTCATAATAACTCGATATGACATCATGGGAGTGTAGTCTTCCGCAGGTAGTGACAGCCGCGACCGCCCCCGAAATTTCATACATAGAAAGGATAGTGTTCATAGCAGGCCCACCTAAGAATTTGATTGGACCAGGTACCTCAGGAAGAACACCTCTGATCTAAGCCTGTCTGCGCACAGTGGATGCGTGTCCACAAGAAACCTTCCACGAAAAACCCAACCCTTGGTGTTTGGTGGGGACGTCGAGCCATCCATGGCTCAACCCTCAAAACCCAAGAAACCCAGAGCACCCTGGAGGCAAGCAGGGTGGGTCTTGGCACGAGGAGGAGGAGGAGGAGGAGGAGGAGGAGGAGGATGAGGAGGAGGAGGAGGAGGAGGAGGAGGAGGAGGGAGGAGGGAAAAGGGAGGAGAGAGGAGGAGGCGCACCCACCGAAGAGGGGGGAGCGAGAGGTCCGACGCCCAGCACCCCACCCAGCTCGCACGCAGCACGCGCGCGGGGCGGTCCTCGGCGACCACCGCGATCATCACGGTGACGGCGGCCGCCGCCGCGCGCATGGGAGATTACGACCGACACACTGACCGACCAGAGTGCCGAGACAAAAGGGGACCAGCAGTGCTCAACTGGAACTAACACGCAAGGACACAGCCCCAGGAAATCAATTCACCCCGACCCAGGGCCTGAACGACTTTGCTCCGCCTTGCACCGACACGCAATCTGGCCTTTACAAGGGAAGAGGTATACGCAGGAGCGATACAGACAGAGGGAGAATCCCGAAAAATCTGGAAACCCTTATGCATAAGATCCACAGCAACCAATTGTGACAGCAAACACTCGCAGGACGGAGCGAGGAAGAGATGGGGGAGGATGGAACTCAGAGGCCGATCTCCCCAACATTCAGGAAGCCAAGGAAGAACACTCCGAATACTCTGAACCAGAACAGGGCAAATCGAATAATGGAGCAGGTCGCCTCCGCTCACGGCGCAACAGCCGAATCCACATACTTGCACCGCCTGTCTATACCGACGAGTGGTATTCCATCCATTAAATATAGCTTTCAAACAAGCAGATAAAATATATCCAGGAAGCTTTGGACCAGCAACGCCAATACGGATAATCGCCAAGAACACATCGGCAGGCATAATATCAGGGACCCATGTTTTCAAACTTGGAAGTATAACATCGTGGATACTCGGAAATTCACGCCGTCGATTCATAAGTAACATATTGGTCACCCTGGCCTGGACAGCTTTGGGCTTGCAGTCCAAGGGGCGGTGAGTCTGGAAAAGCTGATTATACAGGTCCCAGATCCGTAGATATAGGGAATCCTTCGCATAAGGGCTATGCCTCCATGCAATCACACCCTCGTCCGAGTCTGCAAACTCCTGCAACTCGCTTTTCAGTTCATGGAACTCCTCTGAGTTGATGGCGGCACGCAGCATGCAAGCGCGGGCATAGACTTCCAGCCCCCGCGCCTCCACACGGCGGCCTAAATCTCCGAGCTGATGCAAGGTCTCAGGGGGGAAGGCAAACCTCGGAGAGCACGTGAGCCGTTGGAGAATGTTCTTTTCAGCGAGGCGAACTGATTTGGGGGGGCCCAAGACCTGCGACACGTGGCTCACGACGGGCAAGGCGTAAATGTTGCATGCAGAGGCGCTCAAAGATAAGCCTCCTCCCATCTGCTTTACCTGCAGCGCCCTCCCCCCCAAGGTAGTAATCGCTTGCTTCCAGCTCTCCCCCCTCCCCTCGATGCCCAAGTACACACCCAACTATTTCCCATTCTTGAGGATCGTAAATTGGCGAATGCTCACACCCACTCGCTGCAGATCATCAACTACAGACTCACGAAAGGCTGGCGAGGGGATCACCAGCACGCACTTGGCCAGGTTCAAAATAAGGCCAGGCGCTTTGCCACCGTCAGAGAGCACTCTCCATATCGTCGGGAGGCTCCGAAGCACGTCGCGACAGCAAATGCCTATGTCGTCCGCGAAGGCACCCATCTCGATGGGCAAACTCGAACATCTTTCACGGATTCTCGTCAAAATCGGATTAATACACAGACAGAAAATCAATCCAGAAATGGGGCAGCCTTGTTTAACACCCCTTCTCACTGCAATATATATATATATATATATATATATATATAGGCTCGCACCCATGGATATCAATACGCATACTCATATCCGAATATAACGACTTGGTAGCCCGACAAATATTCCTAGAGAGATTAACACGCCGTAAGACAGCCCAAATATATTTGTGAATGACACTGGGGAACGCATTTTTCACATCAAAAAGCGCCAAACCGATCCGAGGGGGAACGTCCATCATGGCCCACTTCAGGAACGCAGCGTCCAGGGAAAATACACGGTCCAGAAGCTGGCGGCCTTTGACGAAACCTTTCTGGCAAACCTCAGCGGTGTCCTTCACAGCCTCTGAGGCCGCAAAGCCGACGCAGCTGGTGACTATCTTGTTGTCAGAGTTCGATAATGACAGGGGCCTCGTGCACGCTGGCGCACGAGCAGTGGTATCGATACCGCCTGGACAGTCCTTAGGCAGAAATACACCTCTCGCACCATTAAAATCAGGAGGGAGGCGCCCAGTCTGCATCATCCTCAAGTACATTTCGTACAGGATATGCTGAGCCAAATCGCCAGCAGATTTCCAGGCGGCATAGGGAACTCCATCAGGCCCAGGGGCAGTGTTTTTCTTCCATCGGAGAATATCCTGAAACTTGCTTTCAGGGATCACCCAAGGATGCAAAGCTAAATCACTGCCTTGGTAGTGGAACGGGTGGGAGGGGATCGGGATGATCTCGGAACATCAGTCCTCGATACTTTCATCACTAGCCTGGACATCTTGGAAGACTGACTCCCAGTACAAAGCAAGGACTTCGGCGCACCTCCGCCCATCAGGGTAATGCTGGCCATCAACGGCAGTGACCTGCTGCAAACAATTCCTGCGGCCACAAGACAGCCAGACACGAGCCATACCGCAAATACGCTGCACAGCAGCAGAGCACTTGGCCTCGGCGATGTCCGCCTTAGACTTCTCAATACTTGAACAGAGCGCCGCTTCACGCTTGGAACATGTATCCCTCATCAAACTCCCAAGGTGCAAATCGAAAGCCCCGCGGTCCACCCAAATATTCAACTCCAAATCATAGAACTTCCCCAAGGCAGAATAACCAGAGATCGCTTTCTTGGCACTGTGAGGGCGCCCTCCACGAGCGGCCCGAGCCAATTTTAAGCAACGAGATACTCGTTCCTCAAGCGACTCGGCTCCTTGACTGGCGATATGGACCTTAACGCGCCCAGCAGCGTAATAGAATATATCTTTGATGCCCTGCATCTGCTCGTCTAGGTTCTGGCCTAACCCCTCCGGCACGATGAGGCCCTGGACCACTTCCTGAAACACACGATGGCTGGCCACCCAAACAGGAATCGGGGTCGGACCCAGGGGCATCCAAGGCTCCGGCTTCAGAAACACAGGGACGTGATCCGAGGGTTTGGCAGAATCGGAGGCAGGCCAGACGACGCCCGTTCTCGGACACAAGTCGGGGATGTCCTGAGTGGGCAGGGAACAGTAAACGCGGTCTAACCGACCGTACGACCACATTCCATCACGCAGAAGACGGCGAGTATCATCTTCCTGGGAAACTTCAGCCAAATGCGGAAACGCAGACGTGAACAACGAGGCCACACGGCTGGTGCTGGGCCCATCAAGGCCCGCGGTTGCATTGACCCTGGACTCCCCGACCTCCAAGAAGTTAAAGTCCCCGAAAACGAAGCTCGTGGCAACATCTGGCTTCCCGAGCACTTTCTTGATCTTCGAAAACACATCTCTGAGCTCATTGGTGCCCCGCTCAGGATCGAGGCGGAGGTTGAAGAACTGCAAGTTGCCCTTCTCGGAGGACACGCGCAGTGGAGCGATGCGACCAGGGGCCAGCGCCACAAATTCATACTGAGACCAGCTGCGGAGAAACTCACGAGAGACAAGAAGGAGATTGCCGCCTGCTGAAGGAGACTCACAGAGGCTGCCAAAAACTTGGTGCGCCCGAACTTCTCTCTGGAAATGCACAATATCACCCTCGCCACCGTGAGACTCCTGGATCCCGAGGACCTGGAACTTACTGAGCAAGGAACGGATATGAGACAACTTAGAACGGAAGCTGGATTGGTTCGAATGGACAGAGCCGAGGACAGTCTGAATATTCCAACTGCAGATGCCAATAGAACAATCAGGAACATCAGGTTGCGAAGAGGGAGGAGGGAGACAAGGTTCTGGCATAGGCTTGCTACGCCGAGAGCGTGCTCGTGAATTATAAAACGCGTCAGAGCAGACACCATCAGGGCCCAAGATGGCCTCTTTGCACGAGCAACGGGCATCACTTGAGCGATGCGCTGGGCTCTCCCTCCGCAAGAGACTATTAACGGGCAGCCATCCTCTGCTCGAGCGAAATGCATCCTGCTGAGGGTGCTCACTCTCCCACAGCAGAGGCGGCACGCAGGAGACGGCACGGCGCTCGCGGAACTGCCTCACTGGTGGATCCTACAGGTAGCTCTCGACGCGGCCCGCCTGGAGCGCGACATTGAAGACCTGCTGAATCTGCTCGGCGGATATCCCCCACAAGTTCAGCTCCTCCTGAACGGCATAGAACTCCTCCGTGGACTCACTTCTCTTCAGCAACTTCACGATAATGAATACATCTTGCGGCGTGGCTATCATCACCTCTCCTTTGAATCCGTTCACCCCGAGCGTACACTCATGCGTCAACGACTGATGACCACGAAGCAAGTCCAGAATCGGCTGGTAGATGCGGCTTATCGTACGTTGGCGGTCACGCACATCGATCGGCAAGTCATGGCGCACCCTCAGTGCATGGGCTGAACCATTTCGAAGATCTATCCACTGAAGGGCAGATATGTTAACATTCTCACTGAACTGCTTGGCAGCGGCGAGCGTGCGAAAGACAATCTTATAATCCTCGGCCACAGCATGCAACACTGGCTCAGCATCTTGGAGGAGATAAGGATGTGCATTCAACACTTGACGGAAGTGAGCCTCACGAACATTCTTATGAACAGGTCGAAGAAAAGTGCCGACGAAGCGAACCAATGGATTAGTACCGACTTGCTGCCCACGACCTCGATTGCCATCTCCAGCACCACGGCCACCACCCGTCGAAGTAGCAGAAGTGGTTGCAGCCGACGACGCTCCAGAGGACGCTTGCGATGCCAACTGCGATACTGCTTGGATCTGGGCGCCCAGCTGTTCGATCTGCGACTGGTGCAGCTGCAGGGTGGCCTGGGCCGTCTCAACACGCGAATCCGATGCAATGATCGATGCTTCGTGGGTGGCCAGCTGGACTTGCAGCGCGGCTGTCGACGAGCCGATGGATTTGGTGATGTTCGCCTCAATGCCACCCATCATCGATCGTGACTCCGCCATGACCTCAGGAGAAATGCCTCCATTGCATCCGCTGGATGCAGAGCCGCTGGATACATGCTGACTTGCACTATTGTGATCTTCGCTACGACGATCTTCACTTCGACGACCCACTGCACACCGATGGTTCGTGGACCGATCAGACATATCATCACTGCATGCACCACGGCTGCGACTGTGTGACCTGCGGCTCGGGGACCAGCGGCTCTGAGACTCAGAGTGCGAACTGGACCGATGTCGCTGACCTCGACGACTTGGGCTACGTTCCTCTCGCGCATGGCGATGGTCGTCTCTCACAGCCTTCTTGACACCCTTGCGGCCCATTGCAGCAAACGGGCTGACAGGACGGAATGAGGAACCCAAAAGGGATCGGATGTCGCAAAATGCGTACAAAGGCACGGGCACTGAAGCTCCTGTGCCGCGAGGCCTGCCCTCGCAAAAAGGTCGCCCTGAGCCGTCCCCTCGGCAGCAACCAAGCTCGAAGCGCCAGGGAAGCGTTTCGAACTTGAGCCAAAATGGCTACGGAGGGAGGAGAAAGGAGGAGGAGGAGGAGGAGGAGGAGGAGAAGGAGAAGGAGGAGGAGACGAAGGAGGAGGAGAAGGGGGGAGAGGAGGGGTGGATGAGAAGAGGATGAGATGAGGAATGAACAGGAAGGAGGAGAGGAGGAGGAGGAGGAGTAGGAGGAGGAGGAGGAAGAGGAGGAGGGGAGGAGGAGGAGGAGGAGGTAGAAGGAGGCGAGCATGGTGTTTCTTGGCATGGGTCTCCACTGTACCTCAAGGGGGGCGCCCCTGATCTAAGCCTCTCTCCGTAGGGGCAGCGCTGCGCCTGGGGGGTCGGCCCAGGGTGCGACTGCGAGGCTCCGAGGCTCTTCCCCCAACAGCGACCGCTATAGAGCGCCGCGCCGTACGACCAAGACACCTCTCTGTGAACCTCCTGCGGCCCGCGCCACGAGGGAAAAGGAGGAGGAGGAGGATCTGATGATGACGAGGGAGGGCCAGACGTCGTCGCCCAACACGCGCCTCGATTGTTGCATTGAGACGAAGCGCCGACCGGGAGGGCGAGGCCCCGAAGCCCTTCCCCCCACCCCCAGAGCTCCTCCGTCTCCTCCTCCTCCTCCTCCTCCACTTCCTCCTCCTCTTCCCCCTCCTGCCCCGTCCCCTTCCCCTTCCCCTTACCCTTCCCCTCTCCCTCCCCCTCCCCCCTCCCCCCTCCGCCCCCCCCTCCACAATTACTCAATATGAATATACTTTCCCTCTTCCCCTGATGGCGTCCGGGTGATAGCCGCGCACCCTCCGCGTACTGTTTTTTACACACAAGATGCCCAGAAAACCCCGGGAAACGACTCTCGCTGAGGCGCCGGCGTCACTTTTTCCCCAAATGGTGCTCTCATTGAGGCGCCGGCCTCATTTCTGCTCCCGAATCGTTCCGAATCGTGTTCCCGCTGCAGCGTGGGCCTCATTTTCGGATCGGTGCTTGGCCTCCGTCGTTCAGGATGGCGTTCTCGCCCCAGCGTGGGCCTCTTTCTCGCGCGCCCATCCGCCCGCCACCACCGCGCCGCACCGCCACCACCACCACCACCACCACCACCACCACCAACAACCACCACAGCACCAGCACCATCAGCACCATACCAACACCACCACCACCAGCATCACCACCAACCACCAGCACCACCACCACCACCAAACACCACCACCACCACCACCACCACCACCACAACCACCACCCAGCACCAGCACAGTACC